GACAACTTCACCGCATCAAAGGGATGATGGACGGGGCCATGTACCGTCAAATCTTGGGTGAGAACCTCCTTCCCTCAGCCAGGGCATTGAAAATGGGTCGTGGATGGGTATTCCAGCATGACAATGACCCAAATCACATGGCCAAGGCAACAAAGGAGTGGCTCAAGAAGAAGCACATTAAGGTCCTGGAGTGGCCTAGCCAGTCTCCAGACCTTAATCCCATAGAAAATCTGTGGAGGGAGCTGAAGGTTCGAGTTTCCAAACGTCAGCGTCGAAACCTTAATGACTTGGAGAAAATCTGCAAAGAGGAGTGGGACAAAATCCCTCCTGAAATGTGTGCAAACCTGGTGGCCAACTACAAGAAACGTCTGACCTCTGTGATTGCCAACAGGGGTTTTGCCACCATGTACTAAGTCATGTTTTGCAGAGGGGTCAAATACTTATTTCCCTCATTAAAATGCAAATCAATTTATAACATTTTTGACATGCGTTTTTCTGGATTTAGTTGTTATTCTGTCTCTCACTGTTCAAATAAACCTACAATTAAAATTATAGACTGATCATTTCTTTGTCAGTGGGCAAACGTACACAATCAGCAGGGGATCAAATACTTTTTTCCCTCACTGTATCTGTCGACGCACAGTGGCGTGCAGTGAGATCTCCGCTCGGTTCAAACGGTTTTGGATGCCAGGCTTTCATCAGATTGCAGCTTTTTTTGCAGTTAGAGGAGGTCACTTCCTGTCAAGTGCACGGTGATAAGATCTCGTGCTGCAGATGTTCACATTCATTGTTGACCTTGCTTGCGACACACGTCTGTGTGCACTTTATTCAAACAACATTTTTGGGCTCTGCTTGCAATACACTTATTTGCTTAATATTTCTGTCAAAGTATTCAAGGGTGACATCACCAAGATCATCATCAACATCCATGTTTATATCTACTGCCGGATGCAGGTCTTCAAAAGCCATCACCATCCCTCGAGGTCTTGCAATGCAACAATCCGTCTATCTTTTGAACACGAGCTGATTTCATCACTCCATCTCCATGGTGGGCACGCTCTTAGGCATATTCCCTCATTTGGCAACCATGCTGCCATTTGTCTTGACCAACGTCCATCATCTTCTTTCTAGCCTGACCTGCAACCATTGGTCATCTTCCCTGTTAGTAGTGATTTCCTAGTCAAGTACGTTCACTTTCCTTAACGGTGAATATCATATCATTAACTTGTTCTCTAATTCATCCACATTTTCTTCTTCCAGTCTTTCAATATAAAATTATGTGATTCATGAAATGTCGTGTTTCTTCAAGAACTTAACGTAAAATTTCGACTTAACTTTCGTGACTGCAGGAATTCATATTCTTTGGTTCTTTCGGTAAAGTCACGTAGATAGAAAAATTATAAAAACAAACAATAACTCACAACGTTTCATCTCTGCCTGATGACGACCGCTTGTGTTGCGATCGAAACGTCGTGAGTTTTTGTTTTTTGTTATTTTATTATTTTATTATTTTCCATCTACGTGACTTTACCGAAAGAAACCAAAGAATATAACTTAATGTTATTCACTCATGTAATGCATTGCTTTGATACTTAGGGTTGGATAACAAAGTGCTGCCATCACAATTCAATAGCTTGTTTCTATTCAGGGTCATAAATCCATTTTTTGTACATTATGGAAAATGTCTTGGCCTCCAGTGGTTGGAAGGGTCACATAAAGCACCTTACTGCATACATGAATTAAACATACATTTTTACATGTGAGATTAGATGCATGTATCTTGATTTTTGTATACGGATTGTTGAATTTACGTTCATCGTTACAACTTTATTTGTGACCAGAGAGTATTTGGTTCGCTGCATAAATCGTTTCGTTGAGTGTTCAGTTACACGAGCCGTAAATCAATAGTTATGCAACGAGGTGCCAGCCAAACTGCTTGTAGAAAATCCAGGTTATAAGTTGAAGTGTTATGCAAACGTATATTTTTTAATGCATAAAAAAACAAAAAACATTGCGTTCCCGTCATCTGGCATGGGAAATGCCCTGAAGTCAACAGAAATATATATTTTTAGATATTTACAGCATAATACTGCCTTCAGCTACAGAAACAAAAATACCTGTGAGCTGCCAAACATGCCAGAGATTGATCCGTTTCGTCTATTCTATTGCACTTTTACCTTCTTGTTGTCAGCCTCTCGCTTCCCACTCCGAGGCAAAGGTCTTCCCCTGGTTTTCCATTTATTCCTTTTCTTAGTTGTTCCTGTCCAGTCGTGGCCTCCAATCCGGAGTTCATTTTGTCTCATCTCTCGACAGTTCTCATGACTTGACCTGCCTTCACAATGCATTGAACGGGGTTGTGCTGCACCTGGCAAAGGTGTTTTTGGGGTTCACGGAAGACGATCTTTAGGGAAATCCTGTGCATCACCGCTCATAATAATTCTGCCTCTCATCTTGCGGTGTCAGTAAATGTGTTTTTTGTGCTAGATATTACGTGAATTTTTGTAATGGCCTTTTGAAAAAAAATGCACATCGTTGGTTACAAAGTGTTAAACCAATTAAAATACTTGAAAATGTGTCTTAATCTTGGCTGTGTAAAATTAAGTATTTGTTAAATCATTGCCGGTGACTTCACAGAAAATTAGACTGAAATCTGAAGAGAATTTAGAAAATATTTATTGAATGGGTTTAACTTTTATTCCATTGCTCTGTTTACAAATCTCTCTGAAAGCATTATGAACGTTAAATCAAGTCCATCAGCCTTAACGGTTTGAACTGCTTCCAATTGCAGTGGCATCGTTTAATAACTGGCACAGTAGTCATCGTGCTGCGTTATGAACCCGGCCACGTGAGTTCCATTCCCGACCACGGCTAACGTCAGTGGCGAGTGATATCTGGACAAGTCGTGTTTTCCCGCACTCAGCAACCCCCACTGGCCAGCTTTAAGTATTTTACTTGTATAATTTAAATTATAGCCCAACGAAGTGGCTTATCATTTGGAAATGTATAGCAGCCAAATACTCTAAACGCATGATTCTAAATGTGGAGAGAGAAACCGGTTGACCCAGAGAAAAATCCACGCGATCACGGAGAGAACATGCAAACTCCAAATATACAGGCGTCAGGATCGGGATCGAACCCATAATCTCCTGCATACTAGGCGAGGTAGTTAACGTCTCGCCACCGTGGCAGATATATGGTAAAAAAAAAACCCTTGAAATGTAATGACAATTGGCAGTAAATAAATGTATTTACAATGTAAGAGTGACATGCTTTTATGGAAAGCACATTTTAAAACCTTACACTCTGCTACAAAAAGTATCCCTGCTTAACCGTGAAAATACATCAACAATGCCATGTTGATAAAACACTCATGGTTCGATTTTTTTCTCTCAGTTGTGCATTGTGTAAGCTGCAGTGCTTAAAGCAAAGGAGATATTGAGTTTCTGTTTATTTTGCTGTACCTCCAAACAGACCTTGTTTTTGAGTGTGGTGATGTTTTAACATAAACATTCTCATGTATATGTTCACTTCAAAACATCAACTATACATGCTGACCTTTCGTGCTCGGAGAGCAAAATTAGGAATGTGGGCATGGAAAGAAATTTTAACATGTCACGCTGCTTGCTGTCACATCGGTGAGACCGAGGAAGAAAATCCTGGTAATTTTTGTTAATAATTGTATACTTCCCACTTTGATGTTTGGTTCATAAACATGATCCTTCACAAAGAAAGGGAACAAACGTAAACATGCGCAATTCAGCATGGACACGTGCGTGCTTGGAATGAACATTGAGAGACAGAAATAGGAACGCGTGGATTGGAGAACGTACGCAGCCAAATGGCTTCATTAAAACTATTGAAAGCAAAAAGCAAGCGGGCTTGGGCAGAACAGGTCGCTGGAAGAAAGGGATGAAGGCTGATGGTCAAGAATAGTGACAAGAGAGACGGCAAAGGAATGGAACGCATAGTAGAGAGGGAGGATTTTCAAACGTGGACGAGAGGAAGCAATGAAATCGTCTCTTGTGCAGGTACTGGCTGGATTGTTAACATCGCTGTGTTGTGGGAGCTTGGTGACCGCTTGGGGAGGACTTCACTCAATGGTGAAGTTGACCGTGGCTGATAATAACGAATACAGTTATTGAGTTTTCATCTTAATATGAAAGAAATCGTTGCACAGAGGTGTTCACGCATTCATTTGCAGTGTTTCGTGCATTGCAAATCATCGTAATGGATGTGTCGTCATGCGTGCAGCTTAGAGGTCAGAACTTTCAATTGTGTGCTTGATTCGTGAAAGAATACGGTTCTTGTATTCCATTTAACATGAAGCCATATGAAGAATAAACTCTAATACGCACTATAAATGTGTACTATGATTGAACACTGGCCTTCATTAGTTGAGACAGAGTTCTGTTTATCCAAAAGCTCAAATTCACTTATGCCTTTAAAAAAAAAACAACGTTCAGACTTTGGAAGTCTCATGTTACAAGTCGATGAGCGTGAATTTAAATCCAGGACGAAACGCGAAAACGCAGCAGAGTGCATGCATCTTGGAGAGCTTGCGAATGCAGGCCGAAGTTAAACTGATTATAAATGAATGAGCGGATGAGAGCAGATCGGAGTGGTTTTGGAAAGCTGAACTTGATTATGAAACACAAACGTCCATGAAAGAATATAATTTGTATGTGTGTGTACTACTTGCGAATGACCGGGAGTTCAGAAACATGGTCATTAATGCCCTCTTACCCCCAATGCGCTCAAGAGTATCTTGAATCCAATGAGATGCATTTTTAAATAGTATATATCGTTCAACGCCATGGGTCCCTTCAAGTTTACATTTAACTTGATCGCGTGATGATCAACTTAAGGGTTATGCACATTGTTGTTAAACACAAGATAGTCTCGTGTAACATTTACAGCTGCTGTTGATAGGTACACCATGCGTGCGTGCCACCGATGGAAACACGGACTACATCACAGTATTGCAGAAGATCACAACTTACCTTGAACTTGCTTTTCCCCAAAGCATCCTGCTGCAGATTTATATTCTCGATCCTTCTGTTTGTTGCATTACGCACTTGGGCCGGTTCGATTATTACTTTAATCCATTGTTTCCCTCCCCTCCCCTCCCCCCAGCTTTTTACTCCAACAACAAGAACACTTTTGCTTCTCGAAACAGCTGCGAAGCCTCTCTCGTCAGTCGCGACTTCTCGACGCTTAGCGCGTGTAAAAAAGAAAAAAAAAACAGGTGGCGTAAACACCGAGCAAGTCGGGCACGTTGAACGACGTCTTCTTTCGCAGGCTGGCGTGCTGCACCCCAGCCTTGTCAAGGCTGCCGAAGCTGCTGCTCGTCACGACGACGACGGGCGGGTGGGCGGAGGGGCAGGGGATGATGTGTCCGTGCGTCCTCCCAGTGGACTGCTGCTACTGCTGCTGCGCGTGAACTTTCACGCGGCGTGCCAGCGCGCAACAGCTCTGCCGTGCCACGCTCGGGCACCACGCGCTTTTAAAATCTCAACCTTCCCCGAGCCCCCACCTCTACATCTCATTAGCCCTTGGCTCCGCCTCGCCCTCTGCAGAGGAGTCGTTGAATGAAGGCCGAGTTGAGGACGGGAGTGGTGGTGGTGGTGGTGGGGAGGGGGGCTCGACGCTAAGGAGGAGAGGACACGGCTTGAGGCAGGGGGGGGGGGGGGTGTGCATGCTGGTGGTGGAAGGGGACACAATGGGAGCGCTTCGTGTGAGCGGCCAGCGGCGCTGCGAACCCCCGGCGACCCGAGTTCGATTCCCGCTCGAGCCCAACGCCGGTGACGATTATCTGAACCGGTCATGGGCCCTCCCCTAGGTCGACTCGGCCTCAAGTGAGTACCTGGTGCGGTGTGTGAACATCGCCACTGGGGAGACAAAGGCGGCCGGGCGTGGTTTTGGCCACCCCCCCCACCCCCTCGTGTGCCACGTGCCGGCTTTCATAGGGTGCTCGCTGACAGCACTTGCCCCAACAGTCTGTTCAGGGCTATACGGGGGATCTTCTTCTTTGGTGGGAGAGGAGGGGGGTAGTGGGGGTTGGTGGGTGGCAAGGAAGGTGGGGGGGGGGTGGCGGTGGGGGGGAACCTTAAGCAAAGAAAAAAGTTTTCCCTACCTTGATGGAACCAATTAGATTAGTTGGCTGGCTGAGCTCCCCTGAGAGATGGTGGGGAAGGAGGGGAGAAGAGGGCGGGGGGGGGGTATGAAGAGGGGGCTGTTTTGCTCAGTTGCCTCTTTAAAGTGGCTGTGCATCAGCTAATGCTTGACAGGGTGCCAGGGCCACATAGCTGCTGATATCTCCAGCCACTTGGGATGGAAGGGGGCTACAGCCGTGTGCAGTGGGAGGGAGGGAGGGGATATTGGTAGGCATGAGGAGTTTGGGAAGTTGTTGGTGGAGAGAGGGTGGAGAGAGAGAGGGGGGAGAGCCTTTGGGACATTTTGATGGAGAGCTGAAAACATGAGCTTGTGTGGGGGGGAGGGGGGGTTATTTTTCGTGTTTTATTTTCTCCTGTAAAGTTTGCTCGGGTGAAAGTCCGCGGAGACCACGCTTGCATGTGCCACTGCCCATTGTTGGCACCCTTCTGCCGCCTGTAAAAAAAATAATAATCTCCCAATTTTGTCATCTCGCAAAAAAAAGAATGGCGAGGCGGTGTCCTCCGACGTGGGACACCGCCGACGTTGTTTCGCGGGGTAAATGTATTTGCTGGTGGGGGAAGGGAGAGCCCACGTGTGAGCCAAGTAAAAAAAAACAGAATAAATTCCCAAGTGACGTCTACTTTGGGTGTGGTCAATGTTTCTGTCAAAGGCAGAGAGAGAATTGGACACAGCAGATTTGACCGAGTTTGTTTTGCTCCCACCTTCACTTGTTACATGTCTGTGGTCTTAGATTTGCAAACGCTGACTTCCCCCCTCCCTCTCCTCATGCCATGTCCATTATTAATAGACTACAATACATACAAACGTGTTTCTTCAGGTGTTGGTGAGAAATATATGCGGCTTGAATCAACTCCAGGGGATCTTGGCATGCACGGCACATAGTACCTTGCCAGTAAATTGCTCGTGCAGCCGAGTGTGTAGAATAATAATGGAAAAGATGTTATAAGTGTCTGTGCGCAGGCTGTATTAACACTGTGTAATAGAAAAAAATGGCTAAATAATGATTTGCCATTAAGTTTCATGGTTTGTCACTCATGAATCTTAACTTTTCGTCACTGATCATTTGGATAAATGCAGGACAGATCTTAAGCTTTCCACCTGGAAAGATTTACGCGTTGTTTTAGACTCTTATTTACGAAAGAAAAATCTCCTGACATTCTATATATATAAAGACCATTGCCACGTGAATTATAATGGGATTGGGGGGGTTGAATAGAAACTGGATGTTTATTTTGAAAGCAGTATTTATAAAGAGATTTGAAAGATTAAAAAACATGAACACTTGAATATTTCAGCAGAGAAGATTTAGTATGAATTAAGTTTTTACAAGTAGACTCTGATGCGTATGTATGAATCCATTTGCCTTGCTAGTTTTCATATGACACGATACCGCTGAGAAAATATGAGTTATCCCATTTCATTACTTCATAAATACGATCTATACTGTATACATATATGGTCTCCCAACTGTATGGGAGGCCTTCATCCAGCAGTAGCTGGACAATGCCTGCTTTTAATGACCTATATGTCCGAGAATTTTCATTTTTGTAAAATATCCTGTGCATTTAATTTGTTTAATACAATTTACCCTGTAAAAAGAAAAACAAGCGATATTTCTCCAGCTTTTGTCAATTCACTGCCGGATGAAAGCCTCCCCATGCTGTGACCGTCATGAGGGTTGTTTGACCATTCCCCATGACACGAGTTAGTGGGCAGTCCAGGACTCTGATCAGACATCACTTGCTACTGATGTTATCTGTGGCCAGGAATTAAACTAAGGTCGCTAAGTTCATCGCGCAGTGTGCCAACCATTGTACTACTGCTCCACTGTTTCTACTCTGTATTTTGTTTTATTTTATGAAAGACTTGAAGTGAGCATATTATTAAATTAGATTAATATCATCACTCAGTCTTGTATGCTAAAAAAACACATTCATTGAGGTGCCTTAATGTGTTCTGCAAGGGTTATTTATGCAAGAAATAATTATTTATTGACTTTAGCATTTCCCTTATAATGACCTCGGACCTGAAAGTCTATTTCAAAAAAATATTGATCACCTTAATTCATCTCGGAAACGTAGAACTTTCCAGTTGGTGAACAAATACATTATAAGGTCACACTCATTACACACAAAGCGATTGCCCCAGATAAACCACAATACCTTGCTGATCTCGTCAAGGAGCATAAACAATCATGCAAAGTCCGGTCATGCCCGCAGCAGCTTTTGGATAGCCATCAAACAAAGATCATGCAATCTTCATCAGGTGTAAAAAACAAATAGCGAGGGAGCATATAGGGCGACATCAACGCAACACATAGAGAGCGCCAAACTGCACGGAGGTAAATACAACAAGAGGATGAGAGACGAGAATTCAACAAACCGAAGAAAAAATTATGTGATGCAAAACCAGTCAGGTCAACAACACAGACACTTACCTGGCCGACCACGAATTTCAGAAGAGTGCTAAATTTCGTGTTCATCCTCTGGATTGTACATACCAGCATAAACAGAGTGAACAAATACGAGGTACAAGTCAGCATATACAGAGACATCAAGAGGCAAGGAGAGGAAAGACGGACAGAGAAGCAAGGAGAGATGAACAGACAGAGGCCTTAAATAGAAAAGTGAAGGTGGGGGGGAGGGGCTGAAGAGAGCAGGGTTGCACGGCAGCACCTGATGAAGATCGCTTGTGTTGCGGTCGAAACGTCGTGATTGATTTATTTTAATATAATTTTATGGTATTTCTACATGCGTGACTTTACCGAAAAAACCAATGAGTATTTTATGCAGTCACGAAAGCTTTAATTCTTTATTAAAGATCATGCAATCACGCGCTTTCAGTTGTGCTTCTGTGGCCATCCGATATTAGGACGCCACTGGAGCTGTGCACTTTTTAGAACTGATTTTTGTGTTTAGTTTGTCCTTCCCCCGCACCTCCGATTAGCATAGTTGGTTACGTACGGTCCAAAAGAAGTTCAACGTACATAACATTTATCTTCCCTGCTTTTTTCTAGACTTGACTTAAATTTCCATCACTTCCATTGTAAGAGGACTATCCATCCGGACCACAATTAGATGGGGCTCATAACCAAACACGTGACATGCATGTCACCTATTGACATTGACAGTGACAGCCCAGGCTATTCCTCATCTGGTAGCTACAGGTATCATTGTTTCCCCCTTGATACATGCTATGTGGTGGACAGCCAATGGCATTGCAGCAAAATCCATTGTTGTGTTGTATTTATATGTTCCTGTGTCATAATCTCCACCTTTTCCAACCCAAAGTATGGTCAAATAACCCGTATGATTTGCATGGTGTGGGGAGGCCCTAATCTAGCAGTAGATTGTAAAAAGGGCTGTCCATGTGCATGTACAGACATACGGGTCAAGTTTACCAGGATGGTAAATGCCAATTTTGTACCCCCCACTTAGCCTGGACTCCAGCTGAGCCAGACTGTCTGAAATAATTACCACCACAGTAGCTATCCAGCTATAAAAACCAGGATTACTTTAAGTGAAAATCCTTATTTTTTCAAGCTTCTTGCATTTGTACACAAAAACACTAAATCCCTTAATTTCCTGCCTCTTTTAATAACATCTAGCATTTCTGCCCATGCGTTGCGTGGAACAGAACTGCTTTTTCTTCGGTACATGGCTTTCACAAACAAAGCACGTTTCCTTTCTCAAAAATAACCCCACCACCAAGAAAACAAACCCAACCATGTAACTAGCTGAGGGGCACGTCGGTACAAATTGAACCACTTTATCGTACAAGCACATTTCAAATGTATGCCACAGCACTCACCCGACGTTCTGTGGGCACTAATAGATTTGTAATATTTCTGGACAACTCAACTGGATCATAAATATACCCTCCCTGCCTTACATAGCCGGTCATGTCCCATGTGAAGCCTCGCATTCAGAGAAGAGGAGGAGGACAGCGCTGTAAAAGGAAAGTGGTTCATGCAGCGTGCACATCCCATCCCAGTTGCTTCTTGAAGCGGTTTGCTAACATTTGTTTGGTAATTATTCTGCCTTTTTTCTTTCTTGTCAGCCTCAACTGGGGTGTGGGAAATGCCCCTGAAGTCAACAGAAATTATTTTCAAGGAGAGAAGTGTGAATATACTGCGTTATGCACAATGTAAGAGGGTCTTCTTGGAAAGCGGTGTATACAGCGTGTGTGCCAATCTGGAAGTGATGTTTTTCAAACTGAATGAAAATCATCCACGATGATGGGAGACAGGCCTTGTAAAAATGTCGTGCCAGCTCTTAATGTCATCACCCAATATCATGTGCCTAAATTAGCCACAGTTGAGATCAGATGTGTAAAAAAGGCCAAACTAGATCTGGAATGTATGGTCAGTTGCCAGAAAACAGTGATTAAAAGCTTTATCCCACGACCAAAACTATCTGTCCGTGTGAGTATGTGTATGAATGTTCTTTTGGAAAG